ATCTCCTTCTCCACTCCACCCACCCAAGTTGAACATTGCCACCTTTATTAGGAGCAAGAAGCAAGGTGCTGGGCGTAGTTTTGTAATCAAGTCTGGATCTCTACCACATGGTAGTTTCATGTTAATTTTGTCCTCTTACTTGCATTTTAAAAAACTTGTGCAGTTACCTTAATCTCTTTGAAAAAATAGCTGGCTGATAGCATTTCTCAACTCTACCCTGACACTTGTTCTCATTCTTAATTAGTCAAAACAAACAGATTTTCTTTTTCAGCCTTTTCTATTTCTTGTTGTTCTACTATTTCCTATTGCTCTTCTTGCGGTGCTAATTATCCTACAGATGACTTCCTTTGGCTTAGGATACAGACCTTGCATAATTTTAACATGGTCAAATAGCAGCATTTTATGGTGAAGTCTGAAATATCTTAGTCAAAACTGTGAGCTCCTCAGTAAAATCATCTTGTCACTAGCTAGCAATGATAAGGAATAATTTCATTTTTGAAATGAAGAATTTCCATTTACAGAGTCTTAGAACTTCAGTTCAAACTGAAATCGGGACTAGATCTCTTAAGAGGTTTTTTTGAGGACTACCTCAGATACATGTTTAACGTCTTAGAAAAGCCAGCTATAATGTAGAACTACTTTGTGTTAGCTCTCTAGCTATCATATTAAAAAAACCCTTCAGCCCTCACATCCAACAATATCTGCGCTCTGTAGCTTCCCTCTCCCTCTTGCTGGCCATGAGTGCAAAATTTTCTTCCCCAAACTGTGTGCCAGAGAGACTTTATTCTACTTACAGAACCTACCCAGCTATATATGTTAGTAAAGAAGTAAGAAGATTCTGCTGTCAACCTTTGTCCACCCTAGATCTCTTCCTAAAACCAAGAGAAAGTTGAGCTGCTGAAAACTTCAAGAAAAGTTAATTAACAGGGCCGACTCTTTAAAATACATAAAATAAAAATGCAGCCTATCAGGGTGACTGGGAATTACACATTATTACAGAACCAACTAGGCACTGAATCTTCAGAAAAGCACCACGGCCAGGAGATCCTGGTCATTATCTAACCTGCAGGTGCCCCTCATCATTGAATAGAAACAAATAGTTACTACAGCATTCAATGACCAGAAGAAACAACTTGCAGTACAAGGATCAGATAAAGATCAGATTTGATCAACTATCCTGTTGATGTGGGGTGGGGTTTACTTGGTGCACTAATTCCGAAAGCCTGGAGCGAAATGGCTAGGACAGCACGTTGTCACTAAAGCTTGGTTTTGTCTTTAAAGATGCAGATTATTTGTACCAAACACCAGCAAATCATATCACAGAGCCAGGTAAACCCCACAAATTAGCCGTCAAGATGGACTATATGGGAGAATACAACCAAAAACTGGCCTAAGGAGCACAAGATTGAAACGGAAGCCAGAAAGGCCCGTTAGGCTGCTGCTGGGACAGAGCATTAATAGTGCTGCAGGTTTCAGGACACAGGAGGAAGAAAAGACACGCTGAGCAGAATCTGAGACCTCATTATAGCACGTGGAAAAACAGGATGGAAGAGACTGAAACACTCATTTTGTTATACCAAGCTCTCTATCGTGCCACAGGACACTCAGTGCACAAGATCACAGTGGTGAGGCACTGGAACAGGTTGCCCAGAGAGGCTGTTAAGGCCCCATCCCTGGAGGTGTTCAAGGCCAGGCTGGACGTGGCCTTGGGCAACCTGGTCTAGTGGGAGGTGTCCCTGTCTATGGCAGGGGGGTTAGAACTCCATGGTCTTCAAGGGCTTTTCCAACCTAAACCATTCTATGATAGTCACGAGACTCAGAGCATGCCCTGATAAAGTGCTTGGTGTGTCTCCCAACACACTCTGCTCAGGCTATCTGAAGCATGAAAAAAGAAAGCTGAAGCATTGTTTTTTTTTCCCTGAACAGTGGTTTACTAGGAATGTTCAAAGGCTTCCTTTTGGCAGATTACCAGCTGTACATAATTTTCTCATTCTTCCTCTCCCATATCATCTTTTTTCCAAGAAGTAATCTTATTAATGCGTAGGAAAGGACATGCTTATGATATTAAGAAAACCCCAAACTGTACCAGCCCATCAGTCTTTAAAACTTCCTCCAAATTATTTTGCCTGAACATGGCATCAGCTTCACTACTTCCTACCTACAAAGTGTTACGATCTCAGCATCTTGAACCCTCCTCAGCCTGGTAGATAATGGAATACTTCAAGCTGAAACAGGTATCAAAGAAACCCATGGCATCGTGAACAGTTACCAATACCTCTTTCTCCTTTCGCAATATTGGAGAATCTTCAGCATTTAGACTCAGGGTTCAGACCACAACAAATAGAAGGAAACATTAAGGCAATTCTCAACCTCTGTCTAACTGTGGGAATCAAACAAACCCATCTTAACCACAACTGGGACAAATTGTTGCCTTCAAACAGGAACACTATAACCAAAATCCAGGGCTTCGAGTTTCATTCTGTTAAATTGCTTGGCAAGGCTGAAAAAACATCACAGTAAAGGATACTGTTTATTTACAGCTCAGCCAGATCTGGAGAGGAGTTTTTCTTCGCTTTACTAATCAACTTCTTCCATTTCAAAAGGATGTCCTTCATTGTACAGGCAGTAACTTGGACTCTTAAGGAAATAAATGGGTTGTCTTTTGTCTTCCACTTCAGCATACTGCCAGGCATTTAGATGATGCAGGTTATCCATAAAAAAGACTAGGAATCTCACTTAAAGTAGCTGATGGCCACTTGTGGACTGATATGAAGCACGGGCAGCACCAGTAACACAACAAGATGCACAATTGGCAGAAAAGACCTGGTTTCTATACAGCAGGTTATGGCCCTATTTGTTGAGGTTTCCACATCTGGTTACAGTCAGGTTGTATAACTGATCCCCCATCCTATATTTTACGATCTTACTGCTATGCAAGATATTGCTAGAATGAGACAGGTTTAACAAGATCTTTACCCAAACTTTCAGCTGTTGAGGAAAGCCTCTAACCCTCCCCCACCTCCACCAGTGTGATGCAAACCGTACTTCCAAAATGCTCTCTCAGCAGGA